GGGGTAACAAAACACCCCATGTGACTAACGGAGGGTTAACAATTTATTTGATAACAATCGTTTTTCCAGATAGAAATCGTACTATTTAACCCATATCTGGTGGAGAAGAGAGATTCATATATTTTCTAAGATCATTTGCGCGTAAATGAATGTAACGTACCCGACTGAAATTCTAACAGCTCTGCTATTTCTCTTTCTGAGTAATATTCATTACAACACATGCAAATCCAAGTATACAGTACTTAGTATTGCCAAGCTATAACCTTTCTAGGTACCAACCAGGCACGACGTTGCATAAATTTTGTGATCGAAGGAGAACCTATGTTTCACCGTGATATGGCCGTAAGTGTGACAGAGATCTGAAGGGACATCAAAGCAGTGAAAGATGCCTTCCAAAAAAGATGTATTTAAGAAGGGTGACGGTGGAGTAATGGATAGCGGCTCGGATTGAGTCGAATTCCAGTCAAATCCATTACATTCACTTACGTGCTAATACCGTTGGGAAATTTATGAATCCTCTTCTTCTATGCTATGGGTAAATAGGACAGACTGGCTTCTATAGCCTTGGATGGCAACTGGTCTACTGCAGAAAGAAATGGCAACCTACTGCGGGAAAAAATCTGCTTCGTTAGTCATGTATAGAAAGATACACGCATGGTACAAAACTGACTGAAAGGTGCCTTTCAGAAGCTAAGAAAAATTTATCCATTTATTACAGAGACAATGCGTATCCGCAAATATCAAACACTTGGAACGAATCAATACTTATCAATCGTTTCGAAAAACAGCATTCGAACTACGACCATTAGCGCCAGTTAGCAACATATGCCACAAATAAGGCGGATTACAATTGTATGATTATTATTTTCTTGCTCGTTTGCCAGTTCTTGCCAAAGAGATTTATTTGAGGAAATATTGCTCCCTTTTAGTGTCAGCATATTTTTCTACTGCTCAGATTCCGAGTTTATCCATTGTTGCCAATATTCTTTGGAATGTTCCTATCTACCTTCAAATTCTAATGCTCTAATAATCTTCCCTCTTCTTCAACCTCTTCCGTTTCAGCCTTAATTTAATCAGTTGAGAACTTACTCTGTTCTTCATTTCAGCACTTTTGCCTCTTGCATTCAACTGAGTTACCAAATTCTTTCATTAATTTATATAGACAGGAAACATTCAAAGAGTGTTGGCAAGAATAAACACAGAAGCTGGTCAATAGAAAGAATGGCAGTAGTAAAAGGGAAGAATCACTTAAACTAACGTCAAGGGATTATTTGCGAATGATCTAATGGCAACGATTCATGCAAAAGTATAGTCTAATTTTCCAATACGCAACTAATTTGATTTTGTTAATACCATGTCCCGTCAGGAGGTAGATGATCATAGGTTTGAATAGATTCTTTTCTTTCATGCCTGTAAATTGTTGTGATCTCTTAGTGAAGTGATTTCTCGTTGTTTTCTACACGTTTTTGAAGTCATAGCAGTCCTTCAACTACACTGTTTGTACACAGAGCTATTGTGCTATTTAACCTATAGTTAGGGAGGAAGATTAATGCCTTCCCCAAGAACACAACACACTAAGTTGTAATTTGAACTCTTTTCTGGATAAATCAGTTTCTATAATAAACTGAACTCTCCATGTTTTTGTTCACCTCTGCCGTGGCTAGGTATTGAACTCAAACTGTTTTTGTCAAGTCACTGGATTATTTCAGCCAACGCTTTTATCCACTGGGCCATGCATATGCGCGGACATCTGGAGAGGAGACAATGAATGTACCCAGAAATATGGACATATATTGCTTTTTAAATACCCACAGCTTATATACGGGATTAACGAAAGTAATAGTAAGAAAATTATGTCCAATTCCAGTTGTGAGGAAGTGATTTATGTAGAATGGACAAATTAAGACCCTTACAAAAAACACTAGATCGAAACTGAATAAAGAAATATTATTTATTTATGCACCCACTAGTCACCTTATTAAGTAAACTCCTCTAGAACTTTAGAACCGCCTCTATTCTTCTTGATATGGATTCAAAAACATTCTTTCGAAATTTGGGCTTATGCTGTATAGCTGCGTTGTAAAGAGTGGCTAATGTTGCCTTTCTATCAGCTTCAGCTCAACGGGCCATTCGCCTCCGACCTCTTTCAACAAAAAGGAATTTCCATCCACAGAACTGCCGCTCACTGGAAGTCTTTTTTAATTTTTTGCCCGTTCTTTGGAAACCCTACTGACGGTTGTGCGTGAAAAATCGTGTAGGTCAGTAGTTTTTTAAATGCTCAGACCTGCCCGTCTGGTACCAAGGACCAAGCCACATTAAAAAATACTAAAATGATCTTTTTTTCCATACCAATACATGAACCCTGTTTAAAGGCAAAAAAAAAAAAAAAAATTACGCCACGACATTGACTGATTAGAAATTTGCATGAAAAAGCATTTGTTCATGTGTACTTAATTAAGCGGCCAGTGAGTGTACATGGACACTGTTTGATGATTGGATGTAAAGGTAAGAGTTCTACTAGGTTTTCTCGTATTGTTATTATTATTACTGAAAGGAATTAAAAACTGGAAACGCGTTTTCGAAAGAACAAAGAAAAAAGTCCTTTTTGCCACCAGATTATAAAAAGAAGTTTTATTTTAGTTGATCGCTAGGCTTACAACTTGCGTTACTTTCTTTTAAATGAAATTAAATTTCTATTGTGCTGTTTAGAATTCGAGCGAAACTTAAGCTGAATAATTCTCTAAGGCGTATAGGACAGAAAGTTCGACACTAAAATCCGATGGCCCATTGGATAACGAAAGATGCCTTCCAAAAGCTAAGCAAAGTATTAAGAAACAGGACATTTTCGTAAAAAAACCCGAAGAAATGCGTATTGAACATTTATCTAATATCTGTCCTCCTGCTATGCCTGGACAATCTACTCACAGATAAAGAAGAGACTTCAAGCAACAGAAATGTGGTTCTACAGAAGAATAATGATAATCATATCGACTGAACAACGTCGAAGTTTTAGAAAAATATAAACATAAAGGACACTTAAGCTTAACATCAGAATGAGAGTTTAAATTTCTGGGGCACATAATGAATAAAGGAAGCTGGAAAATTTGATACTCATACGACAAATTGCTGGGAAGAGAGAGAGAGAGGATAACAGTGTACAATCTCCATAACAGGACTGTAAAAATGAATGGCAAAACAGAGTTTAAGAGAGATATCAATAAGATAAAATTTACTAGGAACTAAAACGGACAGGAAATTGTGGAGAGCCATAATTCCCAACATCTTGAAGTTGCATGGCACAGATAAGAAGGAGAGGAAGGGTACGATATAAAAAAAAAAATGAATAATAACGTTACAGCATACTAGCATCAGACACAGCATCAGAAAAAATAATTCTGTTTTATTTCGTTACTAGAAATTATAATGAAAGGATGTTTTTAAAAGTTTCTGGCATTTCCATGTGAAGACTCTGCGATCTTATGCCAAAGAATTTGTACCAAGGAGTTTGTAAACTTATTCTCACGTTTACTTAGATCGGATATTTTAAGATAAATATATCAATGAAATACTGATTACAGATCGGGAGGCCATTTTCTTTTTTTTAACTTCCTTTTCTGTTTTTTAATAACGAAGTAATCTTTTATTAAAATGTTTCTACAAAAACGTTTCCCCGCTTCACGGGTTTATCTTGCAACGCATCTCTTCAAAAAGAATTCCATAAACAACAACCCAAAAGTACAAGCTGGAAATGTAAAGGAAACTAAAGCTGATAACAGGGTCAACAGAGCGACGAAGGCACGCGTTTAGCACTAAGATCTTCTACTCTGACATGAGGTATGAACTTTGACTCCGGCCATGCAGGGAGCGCTGCCTTCTCGGCGTCTGTTTATAAGCACTGCCTAGGCAGTTTACGACATCTGATGCATTTCGCGCTGCTTTGGCATTAAATATGACGTTAGGACGTTAAGCAAATATACCCATACTGAATACACGCGTCTCGCGTGTGTCAGTAGCAGTTTCTGGCAGGGTTATTGGAGTTGAGTTTTCGGTAACTGACACAGCAAACACAGAATCAGTGATGATTTAGCAATCACAGCTGTCTACATTTGATGGAACATGATTTGTTTCAACAAACTTTCTCTTCGTCAACATCACCTAATAACAGATCTCTTTCGATATTTTTTATCTTGCTGTTTATATTCGAACAACTATCCTTTTCATAGTCTTCACATGCAAAGACATGCACTGACGTGCACGGACATGCATCGATGCCTATGTCTTTCCAGGTCATCTAGTGTTTCTGTGAATTTACACGCATATGAAAGCACTAAAGCGCTCTGACACATACGAATGTACTAATGCACACTCATATACCCTGGATATATGTTTATATTTTCTTTTTGGTAAACCCATATGAGGAAATATGGAAGGATTGCACTTAGTTATTTTTATAAACAGGTTTACCTGCATATGGGAAGTTACTGCTGTGCACATATGAAAAAATAAATGACTGGGTCAAACGATAGACTTCCTTCTGTTTTAAAGGAATGCACTCCAACTTGATATACAAGGAAAAAAAATTAACCATTAATGTAAAAGTCCTGAGCACTTTATTTTGCGAAATGTTAGGGAAATCTTAAAAGTGTCTCTGAAATTTATTTAACTTTTCATTGCTTGTGCGTGCATAAAGTTTATGGATATTTTAAGAATATATTTGAAATGTTAAGATTTTACTTTTAGTGGACTGATTGATCTGTTTTTAAGGATTATCAACTTTTTGTAGGTTATGTCAAGTAAGAACATATAGATTGTAATATTTTTTGAGCTAATAATGATTTACTGACGAAAGTCTTGCTAATTAATCCATAGATGGGGGCGAAGAGATGGTTCCATACCTTTCCCAAATGTACTTATGCCTAAGTGAATGCAAAAAGACTCGAATTGGGACTCGGCTTTCAGAATAACAATTTGGAGCCATTATCCATGACTGATCATCCAAGCTTACAACACCTGGTATGCCCAAGCGTCACCCATCTAGGTACTAACCAAGTTCAACGTTGCTTAACTTCACTGAGCGTACAAGAACCGGTGTATCAATGTGATATGACTATAAGCTTTGTTTTAGCGGAAATCCTGTTTGACTATAATAAGGTTTTAAAGCAACTGGCCGATTATTTCGTTGATAGGATGTTAGGGATGCAGCTTCCATTCGCATTAGAAGGGATTTCAATATTTTATTATGTTAGGCCGCATGCTGTCATTGGTGAAATAAATGAAAAAAAAAATGAGATCGTGACTTCGAATTGATAAAAACGTTATTTAAGCAGCCACTCCACGATACAAAAGTCTTCTTTCTGTTGATCACTAAGCTTGCGACTTGATTTACTTTCTCTTAACTTCTGTGACATATATTTTGCGATTGTGCTTTCTGGAATTCGAGTGATATTCAACCGGAATGAGTCTCTAAGTCTGCATTATTTAAAGAACTATGGGTACAAAAATAATTAATAATAAGTTTATATCATCTCGACATCAGACTCAGCAACAGGAAAAATGATTATTGACAGATCGCGACATCTGTTAGGGAGATGTGATTAAATATACCTTAATGTTTAAGAAAAACTATTCAGTATTATTATTCTTTAGGTAATAAATATTATAACAGCACAAATAGCTATATTGTGGAAAAAGGAATTTTCGACAATATACGCATTTTTTACGTATTTACGATTATTTTTTAACTTTTATCAAAAACGACATTCTTGTACATATAGTTATGGATAATATTATACATTAATTTTTTTTTAATTAATAACTATTTGTATTCAGTTGTTGGCATTAACAGCTATCTACTGATGTGTTAATATTTTGGAATAATGCAATAATAAAAATTTAAATTTCATCTCTCTGATAGATGTCGCGATCTGTGAATCAATATCTTTTTGTTTAGGCTAAATAATTCTGTTTTTTATTTCATTAGCAGAAAAATTATAATGAAAGAATGATTTAAAAATTGTTGAGCATTTCCATGTGCAGACTCTATGACCTTTTACTATATTTGGTATAATTTTAGGGAAATCTTGTCTGAAGCTTATTCAATATTTTATTGCTTGTTAAAGGTTTAACAACATCTTCGGAAAAGTCACAATTTTACTTTATCTCGGTGTCAAAATCAAGAATGACTAAAATCATGTACTCTTTATTAAATTGTTCTTTAAAATTAAACTGATGGTCGAAATACGGGTGAATCTAGACCAGCGGTTCCCAAACTTTTTCCAGTTGCTACGGCCTTGACACCAAGGCCACATCAGTCGTGGGTATGAATATAAACTACATTCGGCAGCAATGCCTCTGATCGGAAGATTCGAGGTCTTGTGGAAGGTAGGACCGCCTCTTAATTGTTGTTTTTGAAGGTCCAACCTGACCCGGGGTGGTAGCACCTGTTAGGGTCCTAGCTATGGTCAAATAGTGAATCCCCCTAAACAAAAACATAGTACACTCAAAGTATAAAAATACATTTTTAAAGTAAAAATAGCAGTAATATATTTTTATATATAAAAGGTCCAACAAAACATAGTAAAATGACCAGCGATAAATTTTATCTTTAGTTGAAGACATAAAACTGTGTTCAAAATATTTACATTTCGGCATTAAATAACCTGTAGAGGTTAATATGTCGTTAAACAAAATCAAGCAATCAAACAACCTAGTACCATCTTCCTACATCGATATGAAAATACTTATATTTGGTATTAAATCTACTGACGACAACAACTAATATAACTTTGTAAAGAAACACGAATTTCACCTTTTCATACATTGCTATTACATCAGATGAGGTCAGAAGAATAAGCATAATTATATCACTACACTTATGAATATTGGACATCTGCTGTTTCATCTGGTTGGCGCTGACAACATTTTTACAATGTATTGAAGCTGGCATTTATATTTCGTATACACTTTTCATGTTGCCATCCGTCCAGATAACGGCAGCAAGATACAAACTATCAGATAATTAATTTAATTGCTCTCCCTGGGGCTTTTGGACTTTTGGAATCCCAGATTTACACAATGAAATCCTGAAGCTTATAGCAATGACGCAGTAAATGTAATCACGTGCCTGGATTGGTTGCTGAAGGTCAAAAGAACGTTATTCAACTCAATCAGAAAGAAGAATCTGGAAGAGAACTGAAAAGATATTTAAAAGGAAGATGTCACGCAAACTACATGAGAGTTGAAGTAAAATTAGAGGTGACTCATTAAAGAAAATTAATTGGAGATTCTGTTTCATAGCAATGCATTTCTTTTTTGTTTCAAATGCGAAGTGATAACTGATTATGTAGCTGCAATAAAAAATCCTTCTCCATTTAACATATTCTGAAAAACATATCATCTTCAGATTGTTTCTCTCATACCTTCAAAGATATCGCGAAGAATACAACGAATCAAAACTATCCTACTGGTTCGATTCCTGTCGGAGGGTGCATATTTTCTATGAAATTTCTTGGACATTCAGGCCGGTAAATGTTGTTAATACTGTTTTTGATAAACAGAGCAATTAATTACATGTTTGTGTCTATATAAATAACGTAAAGGAGGCACGGTAGAGTAATGGATAGCGGCTCGGATTGGGGAATCGGAGAGCTGAGTTCGAATCCGTTACATTCAATTACGTGCTAATACCCTAGGGAATAGTATTAATCCTCTTCCTCTTCCCTCCCTAACCAGCTATGGGTAAATAGCTGGACAGATCGGGTTCTATAGCCTCGGATGGCAACTGTTGTACCACAGAAAGAAATGGCAACCTACCGCGGGAAAAAAATCTGCCTCGTCAGTCATGTATTGAAGGATACATGATCGCCTAAGTTTGTATCACGCATGGCACGTAACAATAAAATGTATTAGTCCATTTCGTAATAGTATTTTTATTATATAGTTGATATTGTATTTTATATAGTATATTTATTATATAATATTATATATAATATTTTATATATTTCATCTTTATATATACATTCTATATATATATATTTATATATTCTATGTGTGATTATTTCTTTGTATGTAAATTATATGCTGCCTAATGTTTTTTTATATATATATATATATATATATCAATACAAAAACAACAAACCTAGGAACATCTGGAACAGGCCCCCTAACAAAAGCCAACACACCTATATAGAGCCATCGGGAAACAACAACCCCAATTTTACCAAGGGAAACTCTCACTGGCTAGAAAACTCAAAATGTACAGGAAGAAGGTATCTCTTAGAAAACCCAAGATATATTAAAAGAAACAATCATTATTTTTTAGAAGCCCCAGTCCGAACAAGAAAACCCGTTTAGATGACACAAAACCCAAAATAATAAACCTATCTACATATACACTTACAAATGACGAAATCAACCTACTGAAATTGGGCCTAAAAATTCTGTCCTGCTCCTAAAAGCAATATAGTAGACTTAAAAAAAGACATTAAGGAATTTGAACGCAAACTGAGACTAAGAGAAATATTTAACAATAGCGAAAGTAGTACAGATGAGTCACTAGTAAAAAACAAATCCAATTTATTCCCAAACAAAAATAACAATACCAATGAGATAAATATATTTTTTGAAAAACTCTGGAACCTTGACCTACAGGAAAAATCCAAATCATTCGACAATCTCACATATAGACAAAGACTAGCCTTAGAGAACATTCGAAAAAATAATAACATAATTAAAAGAAGCAGATAAAGGCAGCGCTATAGTAATCATGGACAGAACATACTATAAAACAAAAATTCTAGAAACACTAGAGGATAGGAAGAGCTACAAAGTAATTGACACTAACATAGACAAAAACATTATAACAAAAATTACAAAACTCTGCACAACACATAATAAAATATTAACAAAAAAAAAAGAGAAGGATTTCCTAATAAACTTTGTACCAAAAAACAAGTAATTTCTACGGACTACCTAAAGTTCATAAATCGAGTGAAATAAAAGCAGCTATACATACACAAAAAATCTGAATACATTAGCATCCCAAACCCCAGTGACCTTACATTCAGACCCATAGTAGCAGGACCAGTCTGTCCCACTAGCAAACTCAGTAACCTAATAGACATAATATTGCAACCATATACTAAACAAATTAAAAGCCACATCAGAGACGATATCCATTTCCTTAGCTGCATACCACAAAAGGTAGATCCGGGAACGCTTATGGCAACTTTTGACATCAGTAGCCTATACAGTAACATACCCCATGAACTAGGGAAAAAAGCGATCTCATTCTGGATTGAAAAACATCCAGAAATACTACATCCGAGATTCACTAAAGAGTTCATTATCGATAGTATAGACCTAATTCTAAACAATAACACCTTTGAATTTGACAACAAAAACTATATCCAAACCCTAGGTACTGCGATGGGAACAAAAATGGCACCAACATATGCCACCCTAACATTAGCTTACCTAGAAGAAAACCTCTATGAAAAGATAGAACAAATATATGGGACAAATATAAAGACCCAATTCACTAAATCTTGAAAAGATATCTAGATGATTGCTTCATCTTTTGGAAATCATCATGGGGTGATATTAACCAATTCCATACACTACTTCAAAACTTACACCCAAAAAAAATCAAATTCACGCAAGAATATAATTTTAACGAATTACCATTTTTAGATATACTCATTAGAAATAAAAACAACCACATAATCACAGATATCTACCACAAACCCACAGACACCCAACAATACGTTCATTTCAAGAGCCATCACCCAAAAAGCTGCCTAAAATCCATCCCCTATTCCCTAGCACGTAGAATTTGTACAATAGTGACTGATAAACATCTCCGAAAAATCCGCTTAGAAGAACTACATAAAACTCTCAAGAAACGAGGCTACCCCACAACACTAATAAACAAAGGTATTGAACTCGCGAAAGAAATTCCTCTAGACCAACTTAGAAATAAAAAGAAACGTAACGTCGAACAAACTCTAGCATATGTCTCAACGTACAACAAAAAAACAACCCAGAAATATTCCCAGAAATCACAAAAAAATCTAGATTTACTTAGCAAGAATAATAAACTGAATAATATA